TTTATATTTTTAATAAGTACAGGTACTTCATCGTTCACCATTGATTGCTAATAGGTCGTAACTAATTTAATATATTTTTTATTGCTGCTCTTATAAAGATTACATATATAAACAAATTCGGCTCAAGGGCGAAAAATAATCCCATTTATCCCCTCGTTTACATTTGCTGTATATTTCCCCACACCATTTATTTATATTTTATTCGTCCAATGGCAACAACTACAGTGATAACCATATAATAATATATTTCGTAAACAGTACACAAAATAACACATTGATATGGTAGGTAGGTATTTTAGATTTGGCGATTTTTGTGTTCACTTCCCGGCAATGTCACTGCGCGTGAGTGTAACACACCATCACTAGTAATTCGTTAATATTGGCCAAATCGAATAGTTACGAGTAGGCATTTACACGAACTAGTAACTAGTGACTATAGTGACTGCTGCAGATACTTATAGTGCGATATAATTCTTTAAAGTGAGTGTCAAACAGAAAACATCATAAATTCACAAGTATATTATAGTATAGGTATGTATTAAATTATTAAAATGTAAAAATTTTAATTTAATTATAATAATAAATATTATATAGTTATTAGTTATAATAATCTTTTAATCTCTATTAAACTAATCAATACGGTTCTCAGGCCTTGATTCACTGGTGACTGGTCAACAACCAAATAATTCTCATCACAGTTTTTGTGTGTTGTATTATTTACTTTTTAACCTACTGAGATAGTTAATAATCACGGACTATAAATAAACTGCAATTATATTAGTAATAAAATATGTACACCTATAAAATATAATTGGTCTATTCGTAATAGTTATTTGTCAATATATCATGATAACAATTGAAATATTTTCCTGAGGTCATCTGATCGATTAATGGTTGATTTTTTCGGAAGTTGAAAGTATTTCGATTGTAAACCGTCTTACAAAACAATCAACTATATTATTTGAACAATGTAAGCATAGCGTTAATTAATAGTTGAACAATAATGGACAATCAATAATTGTTTTATTTATCAATAAATTATAAAATATATTCAACGTTGTATAATGCAATATGAGGAAGCTAGTTTTAAATTTCTTATAATTATAAGACTCATTTTTTGTCTGTATTTATTTCATAGTTAAAATAACTAAGTTAATTAATAAAACAATTAATCATAATCCATAAATAACTTATATTATGCAGGGTGATTCACAAAGCTTGCTTACCCCTTTTTTCTTCAATAAAGCGGTTATTCTGATTTTTTGTACTACTTAAGGAGTGTCCTGTGGAGATACAAACTTCCGTTTTTCAAGTAAGAACACCCCTTTTTAATTGTAAATTGATTACAGTTCATTAATCTGCTCATTCGAATTTTAAATTAGGTACATCGACATTTTCAAAAAAAATATCCACTAAATAATTTACAGTAAAAATGTGGGGTTCTCATTTGAAAAACAGTAGTTTGTTTCGTTGCAGGACACTCCTTAAGTAGTAAAAAATTGAAGGTAAGGTCTTTAAAAATATTTCAAAATTCTAAAAATCAGAATTTGAATAAATGTATCATTAAAGGAAAAAAGTGGGTGAGCATGCTTGGTGAACCATCCTGTATAATATTAATTTACTATTATATTAATACACTCTAAAAATCAGAATTTGAATAAATGTATCATTAAAGGAAAAAAGTGGGTGAGCATGCTTGGTGAACCATCCTGTATAATATTAATCTACTATTATAATAATACACTACTAAAATTAATAGTGGGATCTTTTTAACATTTAATTAAAAACAGACGTATATATATTATGCATTGTGCCATTGTATCGTAAATTGGTAAATATATTTTTACTGGCGAACGGATCGTGATTCGTGAGGCATCATGATAGCGTGAACGTCTGACACTGACAATTGTCGATACGACAATACTCGATTTCACTACTATATAGACTATATAGTAGGCATATTATATAAGTGTATAGAAAATAAACGAAATATAGCATACACAGCCACATAGGTAACTGCTATCTGATACCATCACTATAATTATAATACACCTATATCTATATGGCTATATTATACATTAATATACCTAATATAGGTACAATATGCATGAAGCTACCATTATTCTTCCGTTCTAGTCCAATGATTCTACTATTGGATAGATTGCGTTAAAAATAATTTCAGAAGACACAAAATAGTTGTTCAATTGCCGTCAGTCAAGTAAAGTACGGTGGGATGGGGCCAGTTCAAGGGGTATTTGTGGCGTCATCGCTACGTCAGTACGCTTAAGGCTTAATCGGGATTTAGATATAGGTACATATACCTATATTATTATGTTATATTTTTTACGTGACAACTGACAAGATAACACATAATAATCATAGACCTCATGGCTCATATACAATAAAGTGTACTACATAGTATAAAGATCTATGGAGTAAGGTAGGTAACATATTAATATATTATATTATGTTGACCTCTCACCTCTATAATAGTGTAATATAGTGCATTCATTGTACATTATTATTATGTAATATTATGTCTTGAGTTTTTATTTTATTTTTGTTTCTCCGTAAATCTATGCGACTTGCATAATACCAATGAGCAAATGATAGTCGGTAGCGGTAGATAATTCTAAAATACTATTCAAAATGTCACGAGATTAATTATATTAATCATAACTACAAACAAAATTAAATACGTATCTGCCTGTATAAAAGTAAAACATATCGAATACCTATACCTACATACATCGAATAGGACGAAAAGGTACCAATAGATTGTCATTAACTATAGGATATCGATTACTCAGAGTTCAGACACGTTCTAAATGTTATTGTTTCAAAAAAAAATAATTTTTTCAGTATACCTCACGTTTATAATTTATATTTCAAAAGTTCGAAATGTTAACAAAAACATTTAAAATTTTGCTTCAGAATATAAAAATATTAAGTATAAATTGACAAATCAAAGTATGCTTGGGATTCCGTAATAGGTAACAATAACATGAGGATGAAATAAATTAGGACATTTAAAAACTTTAACCTGTATACCTGTGTGTATCTTAAACTTAAAAATAAATAACAAATAAACAACGCTAATATTATACACATAGGAACATAATAATTTTTCGCTGATAAAAGAATCAATTAGTAATAACAAATAAATATAAATAATATAGATGGGTATAGTACAATTAATGTACCTATACGTAGGTACGTGACTATACAGACTACATTACGTTTGCCTATTGGCTACTAATATACAGGGCGAATGCCAAGCATGTTCACCCCCATAATATCATCAAAAGAGTAGATAAGTAGGTTCTTGCAACAAACTTCTTTTTTTTTCAAATTAGTACCAATCTTTTTTACTGTAAATTGTTCAGCTGATTACTTTTTTGAAGATTTTAATGTATCTAAATCTAAAGTTGAACGATTAGTAAGTTTTTGATTTATTGAAATGTAGATACTTGATAGTACATATTAACATATCTTATATAATATTATAATATATCTATTGTGTCATAAGTTCTCGTATTAGTCAGGTACCAAGGTCCTAAGGATATACTTAACTTTAAAAATAGTTTTTCAAATGTCGTCCAATATTATATCCTCAGAAAATTTTTAGAAATTATTAAATATTAAAATATTAATGTGTACCTATAATTACTATGATTTTAAAATCTTCATAGAACCCATATCTTTCAAACCTATTAGGTGTATATCATCATTTTACCTATTATCCTTAGTACACACAAAATTAAATAATCTAAATCCTTGTTTGAATTTTGATTAAAATATATTAAAATTTTCAAAAAAGTCATCCAGGTACTTAAAATTTACAGGAATAAAGGATATTCTTATTCAAATAAATTAGTTGATATCGTTGCAATGCACTCCTAAAATGATATACAAAATCTACGCCGTTTCTATGTTTAAAATTACGCCATTGCGGTCCTTAAGTTTAGGTAGGTAGGTGGCAAGAACTTAGAAATTCGGATCTAAATATATTTATTATTAAAAGAAAATATTGGGGTGTTCATACTTGCCTTGGATTACATTGTATATTTGTTTAAGAATATGATTATATGAATTAAACATCTGCACGTACGACGTACCTATCAACTACTAAGACCTATAATGCCATTAATATAATTTATAATGCGCTTATGCGCATATTATTCAGGTATCTATTATTTATTATTTAGAAAAAACCGATTTATTATAATAATGTATTATTTACCAATATGCCAATATCTAGATAGGTAATACAATTAAGAGGTTGGACGTATAGGTATATAGTTAATACCAAATACGTACTATATTAACTAGGTGATAATATAGTTAATAATTATTTATTGCGCTGTTATATTATTTATTTATCATTACTTACTTATTATGCAAATATTTAATTCATTAACATTATCAATGTATTATTATTTACATCGATAAAATAAAATAAACATAATATATGGTATATAATAGATATTAGATTTATGAATAAGGTCCCTATATCCATATATATTTATATGATGTATATATTAAATAGGTAACAGAGTATATAAACCCTGTTTATTGTAGCCTGCGGGTATTTATTGATTATTTCGTGGCTTTTTCGAAGTTTGCAATTGGGTATAATTATTATTTATGAATTTATGATGTCCATTCAAAAGAACGTATAACATTAATGAGGAGTATAGTGAAATATATCGCATGTTTAAATGTATAATGCCGAATTGCCGACAACAGAGCAATGGAATGAAAAACATAAATGTTTAATTATGTCATATGCGTGGGCGTCAGACAAGTACAAAGTCTCAATCGAGTGGTAACAGAGATTAAACGACCCTTTATAAATATACACTAGTGTAGCCAGTGTAGGTACTAGTCAAGTAGATCATCAAGAAGACTGGAGACTGCATACATTCCATGATTATAATAATGCCTATCTTATACTTTATAGATTATTTATTTGATTTTGGTAAACTCGCCATCATATTGTTATTATTAGATACTAATTTACTACTCGTGTTAGTCGTTAGCTATTACTATTAATCTACTGATTACATATTGTAATTTGTAATTGTTGCAATTTGCTATGTAATCGAACGACACGGTCGACATTAAAGGCTGAAACCATCTTTGTAGAAAAAACCGAATCTACAACGTAGAGTTGTGTCGTTCGCGAACGGACGGGTCGCATGTATTTTTGCACGTATCTGCGAGACTACACAACTGTGCGCACTGCGCAATATATTATTATGATATAATATAGGTCAACGGGCATAAAATATATGGATATAACGACATGCGAGGCTCTAACGATTTCTCCGACAACCGCGCATTCCCCATTTCCCCACTGCCACAGCCGCACGTAGCGTAAAGTTCCTGACAAATAATATCAAAAAAATCTCAATTTACTCGAACGATATATATCTTATCACTTATCAGACAGTCACTCCTCACTCGGTCAAGTGTCAACCGTCAAAACACTCAAAACTCTCTCGAAAGAGTGCACGCCCTATAGTGAGTTCCGTCGTGTATGTATATTGTGTATAGAAGTACTATAATAGGCACCATACTTTGGCGCCACTATTTAGGCAATACTGGTTTACGGTAAACTAATGACTTTTCTAGTAAAATAATAATAGTAATAATAATAACAATATTTAAATTTAAAAAGTGAAAGTAACACGGACGTCTTATCATCTACATACGTTTATAAATTAAGTTTATAAATTATAAAACTCATACCATTATAATATACCTAATATTGTATCGTATCATATAGGTAAGAAAACAAATAAATATACATAGTTTTTTTTTCTCATATAAACATAAATACATAATATATTACATTCATATTATATATATGTATATATTATTGACATATTTAGTATTTACGGAAAATTTAAGAGCCAAGTATAACATAGCGATACAATTTAACTGAGGTCGATCAAAGTTGTACTTTTGTTGTGCTGAGTCCAATTTCTTTTCGATAACACTTGGCCGTTGGTCAATAGATTACGTCCGAACTGTATAATTGTTTTTATCTTAATACAAAACGAATACCTAATTGTTCTAATCAGTCTTTTGCCTTTACTTATACGTTAAATGTTTTGATATTTCATTACATGCACAACATTACAAGACTGTCTTGGTGTCCGTATTGTTTTACTTGATTATTTGAAAACTAATTGTGCTCGTAATTTAAAATAAAAATTTAAATATGTCACTGCAAAGGCTAAATAAATTTGTAAGATGTTCGGAAAACTACAATTTATGCCGTTATGTCAAGTCACAATTAGAATTTTCCCCATTTTTGAGGTTGTCTGTGAAATCAAAGAACTTTTCCACCGGCCAAAATATGTCGTCGAATCAGAAGGTATTAAATTTAGACAATATGAATCCAAACGTAAGGATAATGGAATATGCTGTTCGTGGACCGTTATTGATAAGAGCTACAGAAATTGAAAATGAATTGAAAAAGGTTTGTGTGTTTTTTTTTTTAATATTAATATTTTTTCATGTTCTCAAAAATATTCAATTTTAGGGTATTGAAAAACCTTTTAAAGAAGTGCTTAAGGCAAATATTGGTGATTGCCATGCAATGGGACAAAAGCCAATTACATTCATACGCCAGGTACAGTTATATTCATTCCTTATTCAATGGCAGATTTAACAGTAATTTGTAGCAAAAACCAATGGGACTCCCTACTCAGGTTTTGAAGAGAATATATTCTTAAGTAAGCTAGTGATCCATTTTTTACTTCAAAACAAAATTAACACAAATACTTTTATGAGATATTTAACTCTTAAATCCTCTAGAAGTACCTACTTTATTTTTGTAATTTATAAAAAATATAAATAATTAAGTATGTGCAATTGAAGTAGGCAATATTGTTTGAACATTTAAACCAAGTAAAATTAAGAATCCTTGTTTAAAAAATTTAATTTTTTAAAATGTATATTCTATTTTTTTCTAATTTCATGTTCGTTCATACTATGTATTACTGTTTTTTTTAAAAATATTTTATTTATCATTGGAAATTCAACAACCTAATTTCAATCTTCATTAACCATAAGTACTATTTTAACATCATCAAATATTTCCTTGATTGAACATTCCCTACATTAGTTAGGATGCTTAAACCTCAAATATCACTATTTAGGTCTTATAATCTCTTGCACTCAAATACAATATTATATCAACTAACAAAGCAAATATTTTTATACTTATTCATTATCTAATTTTGTTAAGGTTTTAGCTTTGGTATCTCAACCAGAACTTTTGGATGATGATCGATATCCTGAGGATGTTAAGGAACGTGCAAGAACTATTTTAGATGGATGCCGTGGTGGAAGTGTTGGTAATTTAATTCAGAATATTTGAATAATTATTTATATTTATAAATTAAACACTATAATTTGTATAATCATATTTATAAATTAAACACTTTAATTTGTACTATCATATTTTATAAATTATTAATAACATAACGTTTATTATCTGAGTACCCAGTTAATCTCATAATCATTTGAGTTTATGAAACACGTGTTCTATTATAAAAATGTTTTAATGTAGGTACTGAGGTTCTACTTCAATTTGTATGTGTACTAATTAAATTAATATATAAGTCCTTGAGCTGTCACATTGAATTAGTATATACCATCTTAGATTATTTTATATTATAACTATTGAGTAATAAAACATTTATTCATAATATTATTATAAATTGCTCTACAAAGGCATTATACAGCTGTAATACTCTAAAATGCCAAGGTTATAAAACAGTTATTGAACCTCACCATTCTTTTATACTGAAGATTTTTAAAAGGTTTTTCATTTGAACTCATTTATCATTACAAATTGTATTGTAAAATTGCAAGAAATGCCGAGAATGCTCTAGTTCATTTGTTGTTCTTATTGTTAGAGATCATTAATACGGTAAAATATATACCTATATTAAAATTTTGAATGGATTTTTTTTGATTATTATATAATATCAAAGAGGAATATTTTTATGATATATTAATTTATTACTAATTATCATGTTGTTTTTATTATAGGGTCTTATACTGATTCTCCAGGAATAGAAATAATAAGAAAACATGTTGCTCAATATATTGAACGTCGAGATGGTATTCCTTGTGATTATTTAAATGTCCTCTTGTGTGCTGGTGCATCAGATGGAATAAAAGTTTGTATTTAAATTTAAATAATAAGGTTATATGCAAAGTTTCACTTGAATTAGGTTTATATTAATTTAAATTATATTTTTGATTAATATTTATTTATTTTACAAAATTATACAGACATTTGGGTATAAAAATAAAAATAATAAATCTTTCTACTTTAATGAGTAACTTGTGTTGGGGTTTAGCTCTAATTATTTAGTTACTACATTATTAGTGCTATTATATAATATGTAGGCAATATTTAGTAAAAAGGTAATATGTAAATTATAAATAAACTATTGATTGTTTTAGGCTATTCTACGATTATTGGTTGCTGATGTGGATGGAAAAAAACCTGGTGTTTTAATCCCTATTCCACAATATCCATTATATTCTGCTACATTAGCAGAGTTTAATGTAAAACAGGTTAGTGTAATAACTTAATTATTATGATATTTACTTATAGGTTACAGGTGTCTTCAACCAGTCAATCTTTAATTTAATAAATGTTAAATAGTCAATTGCAATAAAATGTTATAACTTTATTACCATCACATTCATAATATAGATAATATAAAAACTGCTAGAATTTGTATGTGGCCAATCGTGTTGAGTGGTATCTCAGTACCATCTAGGTATTTTTAAATATTGTCAGTTACAAGTTTATAACTCAATATGCATAATTATAATACATACAATATACAAGAAATAATATTATACACACATAGTTTAAAAAAATATATAAGTTAAATATTAAAAATAAAATATATGAGTTGATTAATAGAAACTTCAAATTTGAACTGTAGCTCACTAGTTGAAAAATGCCAAGAACCCTTGGGTACTGACTACAGGATTGTATGTCGTATCTGGTTTGTGTGTATGTCTTGATTAAAATTATTTTCATTTGTACATAAATTGAATGGCTTTTAAATAAAATAATATTGAATGAATGATTTAACAATTGGTAATTTTTATTAATTTTCTTTCATTTTTGTAACTTAATAAATCATATTTTTTCCATCTTATCTTTGCACCTTTTACTCTTAAAGAATGTATTGCACATTTTTACCTATAACCCGAGTATATTTTATCTTTTATACTTGTTAGTATTATAATTTATTAAAATCAATATAGTACAGCAGTTAGTATACTATACACAGTATGTTTCACCAAGCATTTTTACTCACCTATTTTCCTCCAACAATTTACTCATTCAAGAATTTATAAAAATTGACTTATTCCGTTTATTTTAAGAATAAATGGGCTGAGCATGCTTGGTGAACCACCCCTTATGTAGTTCTGTTTAATGTCATGAAAAATTAGAATTCTGCAATGGAAACTTATTTATACTTAAATGGTTTACAAAAACAATAAATTCTTCTATTATGTTTTATGTAGCTTTTATTAATCTTATAATTATTTCTCTAAAAATGTGATTGGTAATTAGTATTTTTTAATCATTTCGCTTGTTTGGGTTGTTTTTATTAGGTTGGATACTTTTTAGATGAAAATAAAAATTGGGGTTTGGATGTGAACGAATTAGAACGCTCAATAACTGAAGCACGCAAACATTGTAATCCCAGAGCTATTGTGGTTATTAATCCTGGCAATCCAACTGGTTTGTTATTAGTTTTATTAATTACTTATTAATTAATAATTATTTAATTTCAGTTGTGGTGTTAAACTCCAAAATTATTTATAATAAATGATAACATTTAAATTCAAATAGTCTTGTAATTTAATCAGGTGGGTTATCTTAAATTACCATTGTCAATTTTAAACCCATGTGGTGGCACAATTATAGTTTAGTGAATTTTTTGTCTCTTAGAATATTTAGATTGACAGGCAAGAAATGTGGGATGTTACTGAACGAAAATGGTAGATGACTAGACTGCACTAAAATTTGTATATAACGCCATAGAGTATAATCAAGTTAAAAAATAATTATTGTATTTATGTTTTACTTATTCTAAATCCTTCAAACTTTAAGTAAACTAATTGTATACTGTCACTGTCTAATTTGTGTAGTTTTATTTTATACTTAAAAATATTGTAATTATCTGTTTTATAGTTAGCATGTTTGAATTGTTTAGGCCAAGTATTAACCAAAGAAAATGTGGTGGATGTTATTAAATTTGCATATAAAGAAAAATTGTTCTTACTTGCTGATGAGGTAATACATATTTATATTTTTTTATATACCAATAATTATGTGTAAAAAATACAACTATTTTATTTTTTAATATTATTTTTATTTTATAACAAATGTTTTTTGTGCCTAGGTTTATCAAGATAATGTGTATGCTGAAGGAAGTAAATTTTATTCATTTAAGAAGGTATTAACTGAATTAGGATCTCCTTATAGTGAAATGGAATTGGCATCATTTATGTCTTGTTCTAAAGGTAATTAAATACTGTATAATAGTAATGACGATTTTATTATAGTAATATTATTGTAAAATTATGTTAGGTTATATGGGAGAATGTGGCTTAAGAGGTGGTTACACAGAAGTGATTAATTTGGATCCCGAAGTTAAAGCAATGTTACTCAAATCTGTGTCAGCTATGTTATGTCCTACAGTTCTTGGCCAAGTAATTCATTTTTGTAATTTGTTTACAGTCATTATTATTTCATTTTATTTTTATTGTTAAAATAGACTGTGATGGACTGTGTTGTAAATCCTCCACAACCAGATGAACCATCATATGAGAGTTTTCAAAAAGAAAAAAATGGTGTACTGAAATCTTTAGCAGAAAGAGCCAAATTGGTAGCTGATACATTTAACAGTATTCCTGGAATGTCCTGCAATCCAGTGCAAGGTGCAATGTATGCTTTTCCACAAGTATGTTTACTTAATTTTTTATGCTTATTTAACTAGTATAAATTTAAAGTTTAACTTTAACCATAAATATTAATTCCATTTATAGTTCAAGTTACCTGAAAGAGCAATAAAGGAAGCAAAAAATCAAGGAATTGAACCCAATGCATTTTATGCGTTCCAACTTTTGGAAAGTACTGGTATTTGTATTGTACCTGGATCTGGATTTGGACAGGTTGAAGGAACTTATCATTTTAGGTACAAATAATAATAATATTTAGTTTGATTAGTTAAGATGTATAAAGTGCAATCTAAATTCCTTATCATCCCTTAAATATAAAATATATTAATCATATTAATATTATACATTTTTTTCAGAACAACAATCCTTCCTCAGCCAGATAAATTGAAAAATATGTTGGACAATTTCAAAGATTTTCATTTGAAATTTATAGAACAATGGAAATAATATTTGAAAAAAAAGTTTTGCAATAAATATATCATTTAAGTAGAAATAAAATATCAATTACATTTAAATTTTACAACTGATACAAAATATAAGTGATCTATTTAAAATCTATGCTAAACTTACAGTATTTTTACAATTTAACTTAATTTTTTTTAGCCAGAGATAATTATATATTGCAGTTTACTAGGGATATAATATTGTTTCATTTACTAGATAGAATCGTTCCTACATATTTTAAACAAAACAATGAATTATTATTTATTTAATTTGTTGCCATTAACGTTAAGGAGATGGATATTGTATTTTAAATTAATTGTATTTTTATGTTTATCCTTAACATAATTACCATTTACCAAGACTGCTCAAGATTTAAAAAAAGTGCCCGGTTCTTTAAATAATATTTTTTATTTTTAAACATCACTACAAACTATTTATTTTGGTGTGGAAATGTTTACCCTTGTACTTATTTATGTTTTCATATTAGATTTAATTTCACCTAAAACTGTTAACAGCATAACTATCTCTGCGAGTTATTAATTAGTTATGCTAGTCTAAATTTAATTAAAATTTTATCTGTTAATAATTAATTATTCAAAACTTGATAACTCAATATTAGTTTATAAAAATATCCAATTTCGTCAGAAATTAGAATAAATGCAATTAAAACAATATTTTCTAGTTATAAAATTCTTATACCAAAACTGTTATTAAATCCATCCTTGCGTTACTTAATTATTTTTACTCAAAATGTACCATTTTTATTTTTACATCTGAGTTATTTCTGAAACAATTGTGTTTAAAAAAAAATGAATGTGTGTAATGTATTCTTTAATTATAATTTATTAGTTTTTATTATTGTATGTAATATTTATTAATGTATAGTTTCATTCATAAACAAATTAGATATGTTTAATATTAAACTAAATATTATTAAAAGCTTACAATTTATTATAGTAATTTAAACTATCAGTATAATTGTATTGGATATTATATTGTTCTGTTTTTGTTCTATAACTACCACCATTGAGTAATCTATTTACTACTGTCTACTAACTATACTATACTCAATGCTACTACTTATAATTGTTTAAATAAAGTTGTTAAAGTAAAAATAATATTTAACTAGTACTTTTATTTTAATTTATACTGTGGTCAGAGTTGAAAAAATTATTACTCCAACAAACATAAATTTGGATAGTTTTCAAACAGGTTAATAGAATAGAAAAATAATTGAATACAATTGTTGTTTAAAACAATTTGAATCATTACAAAAGGTATATTTGAACAACATGCTACTCTGACTAGTATGAACTGTGTCTGTATTTTAAAACACCGATTGTTGTACGAAGGACTGAAGGAGTGTCTAAAAAATTATCAGTTGAACTTTGAACTGATTCAGTTTGCTGTATAGGCGACTTGGGGGTAGGTTGCTACATGCTTGGTCACATATTTTGTAACTGTTGTCCTAAAATTTAAGCCTACGGGCCTTACTTGAGGGCTAACATTTTATCTGTTAATACATAAAATCCATATTGTTCTAAAATATGTGATTTTAAATTAAGTAATATATTTTTATATTATTACTATATATTGTATAGTATACAAATCATTCAAATTAATACGTATGGATCCATAATAATTTATTAACATTTACTAAAAGGTCCTCATTCAATCTACATTAAGGTCTGCGCTGCCTATGCTTTATTGGGTAAATTTATTAGATCAGGACATCATTAGTCATTACTACAGATCTAAGATACAACACAATTTTAGTTATTATGACTAACACTATAATTTAACACATATTAATACAATGATTTATAATTTACAAATAGACAAAATTGTTATCTTTTAAGGAATAATTATTACATAAATATTAATAGCTAACATGTAGGCTGTCTGTATTATATATATATAATATCATGTTGAAAATAATCATGACTCTTTTGAAATGAGTTGTATTGTTTTTAATTTAACGCATTGTTTAATATTCAATAGATACCAGTATGACATGGATAGAAAAAATAAGTGTGATAAATTCTATTGTTATAATGTTTATTTATTTTGTTCTTATTTATAGTAGCCACATATAAACAGAAATACACAGACATAATAAATTAAATAAATATTTTGAAAAATATTGATGATGTTACTATGCATTTATCACAATATTTTTAATAATAAAATTATAATAAATAATGTAAAAAAGTATAATTTAATAAAATAACAAATAATTAGTAACAGTATAAGTAATTATTGAAATCAAATAGAATTATGTACATATAATTGTAGTTCCACTGAGGTTAGATTTTTAAGCCTTGGAGTAATTTATCTAAACTCTAAAATAAAAAAATAAAACATTAGTTATTATATTTTATGACAAAGATAATATATAATATATATATATATAGTAGTGCAAATACATTTTTTTTGTATTTCTGAGACAAAAACTACGTGTTACTTACGTTGAGTTCCCATAGTATTATTTTTCCATCCAAACCACTACTAGTGAACTTCAAAACGGCATCATTTGACTCAGTATGAACACGCAAACATGTTAATGTATTTTGATGTTTAGTATCAAGTTCATAGTCACTATTGATTCGTGCTTGGCGATCTAAGCTTTGAAATTTTTTCATTGCACTAGAAAACATATTTCATGAATAATATTATCTAATATATTAAAACCTAAATCATAATATATATTCTTTATACTCCTTAAATTTCTTGTCCATAATTACTAGTTACCTTAGACCAGCAGCTTCTTTTTTCTGAGAACTGTCAATTTTAGAAACAAATTGCACTTTGTTATTGGAGTCAATGCAGTACAACATTGGACAACATCCATGACCCTATTTACATTAAAATATTAATTTATACTAAAAGTTTTTGACGTTTTAACTATTAATACCTAATACCTATAGTTTAAAATCTGATCATAATGATTAATTTAATAGATTCGACTATTATTTTCTTAATTTAGTAATTTATTGTAAAAGTGTATTTTAATTTATAATAATTATGAACTCACTGCAGCAACTAGTGCTCGATCAGAAACCCAAATACAGCTTATGAACGGTAACTCATTTGTTTTTAATTTATTTACAACTATGCTACCTTTAGATACATCAGCAATAGTAATAGATGAATCATGAGCAACCCAACACAATCGGTTACCAATTTTATTAAATGCTAGTCCATGAATCCATCCACCTAAAAATATAAACAATTCAGTAAAAATAAAAATCACATTAATTAATACACTATATTAATTTGATATTTTCCCATAGAATTTTAAGTGTTAAGTTCACTGAATGTTTTTGTGTAATTATAACTTAAATGTTTATGGTATAGTTCAATAAAAGTTCAGAGTTCAATGGAAGAACAATTGTTAAATAATGTTAATGGGTTTTAGGAATCAAATATGTATAAATTTAATGTACATCTAGCTTGTTAGGAGTAATATGAAGTAAATATATTAAGTACATAGGTTTACAGCCATATTTCGTTAGATGATAATTTTTCAATACAACTATTTTTTTATAGACTATGCTGTTTTTACTAAAGTGTCTTAACAAAGTTATATTATTAATGCAAATATTTGTAATAAATACTTATAAGTAATTACATGTGTGTAAAATATATAAATTTACCTCCTCTAGAAGAATTTGTAAACTCGGCAACTAAATTTGGCACAGAGGTATCATCAGTATCCCATTCAGTTTTTACTTTTTGACACTGGTCAACTTCTTTCATATGTACATTAAACAGTCTTACTCGAAAATCGGCAGTACCAGTAGCTAATACCATGTTATTTGGATGCCAATCTAATGCTGTTACTGTAGATCGGATGGGTTTTTTTATATGTTTTGACACCCACCAATCATTTTCTACTTCAAAATAGCACACAGATATTAATTGAGCTCCTGAACCAACTGCAAATTTTTTCTCTAGAAATAATTATAAAACCATGTGTTAATATAATATTTATAATAAATAAGAATATAGATTTTAAAATATTGATACCAATATAGACAAACAAAAGTAGTACATTTTGTAATGTTTTGTTATTTTAATACCATTTTCATGTAGTAAAGAAAATTATGTATTTAAAAATTAAGTTATTAAATAATTTGAGCAACACATTTTTATTTCAAAAAGATATACTTAATGGTAAAGTACATTTTTTTATAAGTTATAATAAACTAAGATAAATATAAAAGAAACATATTGAAAAATGCAAGTAATTAATTGTTACAAACACAGTTCAATAAGAATTATGAGTAAATTATAAATATACTGTAGAATGTTGATACCTGACATACAAATGTGATATTATAGCAAAATTACCATTTGGCGACCATTTAACACAAGTTGCGGCTCTACTTATTCTTAATAATACAAGAGTTGGTTTCCATTTTCCCTTGTCATCAATTGTCCATACATATGCATTACGATCCTATTAAGTGGTAAAAGTAATATAATTGTAAATAAAAAAATATAGATACATTTAATAGAAAACTTACAGCTGAGCAAGTAACAATTCGATTAGTGTTAGGTGCCCAATCAATTCCAGTTACTAGAAGTCCATGCTGATCTAGGTTATCTAACAATGTCCAGTCACTCAAATTTGGTTCATATTTGTATATTTGCACTTCATTACTATTTGGAATTACTGCTATCTCTATACAATAATATTATTCAATCAAAGAATTAATAACATTTTTTGATAGACTTCAAACTATAATTTTGTTGATTTAATCAAACTTACGAGTTCTATTTGCATTCCACGAATGTGAAGTAACTGGATTATCGCCTAAGTTGTATTCCATTGTACTAAATTGAGAAAATTAAAATTAAACTTTTAGATATTATTTTAAATTATGATTAAAAAAACTTTTTTTTAAATATTAGATGATTTTCGGATATTACTAAATAGTAAATACGGTGACGGTTCTTATCAAACTTAGCTACTCCCAAGCCCCAAACTTCCAACTTCAATTAAGTACCCAGTCACCAAGAGTCCAAGTGAGTACAGGAACAGGATGGGTGAGTAACCGAGTCCCAAACTTCCAAAACGGGCTGGCGGGCGGCGGCTCACGGACAGCTCAGCAGTGTAGCACTCCGTATTAAGTGATAAACAGTATGACACTATGCACAATAATAATCGTACAATAATATTCGGTTATTCAAGCAAAAGGCAATATTTAATTTTCGGCCTTAGGGACTGTTTTGGACAATGTGTCAATGTATGCATTTTAAGACGAATTTACTATTTAATTGTTATTTTATAAATAAATTAATTTTGATATAAAACATTTCCAAACAGGAAATAAAGCCTCTTGCTTCCTCCTGTTCCCAAACAACGAACATTCCCAGGAAGTTATTCCTAATCCCACCATATAGAGAAGATTCTTCCAAAGCCTATTGTACTATGAATTTTCAATTTAAAAATGTTACAAGTTATAATTTATTCAAATGAAATATGGTGGTATAAATAGTACTAAAGACACAAATATGGGAATTTATGATCAATGGGGGAGGGATATAACCACCCCTTGACCACGAGGTACGCCACTGTCTATATACCTATATAAGGCTAGAAAGTTCATATTATGTTACTATAGTTAGAAGGTACCTACTTGTAGTTGTTTAATAACTGCAGCTTCGCTATTTAGTGGGTGGTAAAGGGTGTACTTTTATTTTTTATAGGTCTCATTGTTCTGTTATACAATTTACAAACTCGACAATTACCGATGTTATGACATATTATTATTATCAAAGTATTT